TATTTTCATCTAGATTCAGAGAAACTTTGTTCCTTTTTCTTTTGAATTAGTTCTACTTTAAAGGATTTTAATGGGATCATTAGATTGCATATATATATATATATATTTATTTAAACCCAGTCTCATCTTTCAGCTGGGCACAGTGGCTCACACCTGTAATCCCAGCACTCTGGGAGGCCAAGGTGGGTGGATCACCTGAGCTCATGAGTTTGAGACCAGCCTGAGCAAAAGTGAGACCCCATCTCTACTAAAAATAGAAAAACTGAGGCAAGAGAATCATTTGAGCCCGAGTGTTGGAGGTTGCTGTGAGCTATGACGCAATAGCACTCTACCCAGGGTGACAGCTTGAGACTTCTGTCTCAAAAAAATAGTTATCTTTCATATATTTCTTTTCTATTTTATTGGATTTTACCGTAGGCGTATCCAGTGTCTAATTCTGTTTCCTGCAGTGTAGTTACAAATGCATGTTCTCCCTTCATTTCATGCTGTAAAGTAATCTTCTGGATCAGGGCTTGTTTCTGTTCATGACTCGCTCCTGCTTAGTTCAGAGGGCGTCGGGTCCTCAACGTGCTCGAGGTCAGTGCCTGCAGGCTGTACTCACCCCCTCCCACTTAGCCTGCTGAGGCCTAGAATCTACTCATATCTTAAACTAGAGGGAGGCTGGCTGAGGTACGTCCATATCATGTGCTGGGAGACACTTGCCGGAATGCCATGCAGAGTAGGTAGTGGGAGAAATTCATTGTTCAGTCTTTCCCCATTTGGTGGAACTGCAGTGCAGTGCCAGCTGCCTGGTCCACCTCTGCTTGACCAGTGGTCCATTTCAGGCCCTCACTGCAGGTCTTCCTGACCCGCCCTTGTCACTCCTGCCCCTTGTGCTGCATGCCCTCGGGGCCTCCAGTGTGGGGACATTAGTGGGGCTTTCCCACGACCTGTTGCCCCTGGGAGGGACCTGGGGTGGGGACATTAGTGGGGCTTTCCCACATCCCGTTGCCCCTGGGAGGGACCTGGGGGAGCCCTTGGCATTTTGTTGTCATTTCCTCCACTGATCTATCTCTAGCAGGAATCCTTCAAAGCCTAAATTGTGTAGATGATACATGGTACCCAGCTGCTAGATTTTTACCTTTGGTTTCTTTGATCTTTTTCAGTTGGGATTCGTAGATTAAGATGCTTGTGTTCAAATTGACATTTTATCCCATTTGTTTTTGTTGTTATATGCACTTACATTGAAATTTGAGAGTAAAATTCCGAAGATACTGTTTGACACCCGAGAAGCACAGTGCTTTATGGTTTCCGTCCCACATCACAGTGACACAAACTTCTTTTAGATTTGTGCAAAACAAGAAATATTTAGAGAAAATTGCATTCCAGGTAAGGGCACAGAATGAGCAAAGGCAGAGGCGACTTGGAAGGAACAGAACTTCGGGGAGCTGGGCATGCATTCCACAAGCTGGCGGAGCAAGGGGTGGTGGGAGTGAACCTGGAGGGCCAGGCAGGGCAGAGCTGGGCTTCATTGCTTCCTTCACTTGGTCAGGAAAGAGCCTGGCAAGGTAGAAGCCTGAGGTCCATGTCCTGTCCTCTTTACAAATAGTAACTGCTGGTTGTGAAGGTGATGGTCATATGATGCAATGTCTCCCAAAAAGAGTTAACGTTTGAGTCCTTTAAAAATCGTTATGTACGAGAGTTCACTCGTGCTTGGAGCAAAGTAGATGACAACACCAAGTCGTGTGTTGAGAAGTAAAGGCTGCAGAGAATCACCAACCTTTGGATACTTTATTCAGTAACCAAACAAGGAAATCAACAAATCAGAAAGATGCAATAAAAATCTTAAAGGAAAAAGTAATTACAGACACATATGTGTCTATATGATTAAATTGTAACATAAAACACGCAAGAGAGGTATCATCAGTGAGGGGGTCGTGCGTCTTGCTGTGGCCCGTGGGGACACCACCTGTTCATGTGTGTCCCCTGCCATGTGTTCACGCACCAGCATCTGGCCACCAGCTGTCATTCTCAGGTTGGGTTACCCCCTTGTAAGAGCAGATTATTGCATAAGAACACTGAAGTAAATATTGGTAGTATTTTTTCTTAAATAATATGTTTTACACAGGACACTCATGCTGTATAGAAAGGCATGACCAGGCAAAGCTGGATTTGTATCCCAGAGTCACCATTTATAGGCCATGTGACCTTTGTCAAATTTTCCTCTAAAATAGGGGATAATGATACATGGGGGGTTGTGGAAAATTAAATTTGATAATGTTTTTAAGACACATGGTGTAGTGCCTGCCATATACATTAGAGTCACATTTATTTTGATGAAATTATTATTATTATAGTTTCGTGTGCTGGGAACAGGTGAAAAATATGCGTAATTTTTGTTGTTTTAAATGTGGCCCCTAAACATACAACATTTATTTCGTCTGAGATGAAACAGCAAACTGTTAAATGCTGCCGGGAAAACTAACTCACTGAGACGGTGTGTATGTTTGTATATAGTTGTGTTTACAAAGCCACGTAAGCTGTGCTTGGGGGTAACTGAAAGGATTTTCAAGGCTTATTTGACTGTGTATAATAGGTTTTTATATTATGAGCTGACTTTAGAACCTAATGTTAGCCTTAGAGGGAGGTGATAGCTGGACTTAAACAAATATTTAACCAGTAGTATTACCTTGCAGTTTTCCCCTTATTCAGTGTATTTGCTAAGATATAGCTGGCTGTATGTGTAAATATCTCTTAATAGCCTTTATAGAATATAGAGGTTTTTTCCTTCGTTGAAATAGAGTAAATATAATACTTCATTTATTCCTGGGGCTGTTGCTAGTTGATCCCAAATAATTTGACGACAGGCTGATGTAAGGAATTTCAAGCTTATTTATGAGCGAGGTATACAGATAAAGCCAACAGTATTCCTCATAACCGTGTTCTGTGGTTTTTCAATCCAGGCTTTGTTTTGTGAATCCCTCCTATGTGCACACACAAGTCACTGTGACATAGCACGGTGGGTATTGAGTGGGTATTTCCCTAATCTGTTTAATAATGCAGCGTTTTCTCAGACTGACTCTGCTGTTCTAGCCAAGCAGACTGCGTTTGAAGTATTGTCTTTGGGTATCTGGAGGCAGAGGTGTGGGGAGTGGATTCTGTGTGCTCGCTAGTTTCCTGTGAAGTTTAAATGAGTCTATTAATCATCTGATATTCTGAAGCACGGAGAAACTTAGATGATGACATGGAATACCCCTGCAGAATGTAGGATTCATCACTTTATTCATATAAAATTGCCAAAGAATGAGATGAAAATGAGTTCTTTAAAATGATCTTCCTCAGAGGTCTTTTGGTGCTGAGTCACATAACCAGACAAATAAGGTGCCCACACCGTCTGCTGGTGACCCTCTTGAGAACGCATGGAATGGCCATAGGGAGTCTTCTTTTCTACTCAGACCTGGCCTGTTCCTTCTCTTTCCACATACTACCACCTGATCTCATACTTCATACTGCTTATAACATAAAGGGAAACACATGAAAACCAGTTCTTCTCAATAAAGCTACAAAAAATGTTTTTAAACCCATCCCCCTCCAAATTGTGAAATGCTCGATAGTTTCTTCTGAAGAAATTTTCAGCTTTCTGATGTTATTTCCGCTCACAGCAAGGGCCTGTGGGGTGAAGTGTGTAGGGCAGGGTGGTTTAAGTGTTTTAAGTTCTGTTTCACTGAAATTTCTTCTACTCATGCTGATTACAGAGCAATAGAAGAAAGAGTAGAGAATTAAGGACAAGTAAGTTCAACCTCAGAAGCTTGTGAGTAGCTAGATTAATTTCAGAAAGATCAGTAAATAAATATTTTAAACTTCCCCTGACCTTACAAAAATATACTTCCAGAAACATTCTGTTTGAACTATTCTCATAAATCAGTCATCTTGCAAAACAACCTCGGCAATCTGATATAATAAAAAGAACAGTGATTTAGCAATCAGAAGATTGGGAGTTCTTATCTTGGCTCATTCACAGGGAGATTAAATGTCATGCTGAAGTCCCCTAGACAAGAAAGCCTTGCAGGAGAGGACTGAGTCAGACGGTCTGTCCTAACAGACTTTCCATGAGTCTGTGCTTGAATTTAGAAACTGCAGGAAGAGGAGCAGACCAGGAAGTTTGGGTGAGAGTGAACGTCCTGCCGTGTGCAGAACTGCAGTTTATTCTATAGGATGGTGACCACGTGCCAGTCTCAACTCTCAGAGGGCAGAGGGGTGTGGGTCAGGATTCCGTTGCTTGTAAAATCACACCCTGCTCAGCTCGGGTGGAAAGCTGTGAACTGGCCTGCAGAATTGTTGGGAGGGCTGAGCTTCCAGGAGCAGCTCCCAAAGTCCCAGTGCAGAACTGGATCACCCAGAGGAGCCTAAAAATCAGGAAGGTGCTGCCCCAGCTGGAAAACTGCCATCTCTGCTGCCATCCAGGTCAGCACAGCAAATGCCCTGTGCGCTCTCTCGATTCCCACTTCAGATCTCGCCCAAGTTTTTCTGATTGGTGGAACTTAAATCACGTCTGAAATTCTACCTGTAGGAGAGTCGTGAGAGTTCATCTTTCAGGCCTCTGTATGCTGCATGGGGTTTCGAGCACATGTGGACAGACACCATAGACAGTCAGCCAAACATTTATGGCAAACAGCATTTTGGTTTGCAGTTTACAGAATAGCCACACGTTTTTTACTTAGAGCGAATGTCTAGACATTCTACATACAGGGCGGCCATAAAGTTCATGTGCAATTTTAAAATAACACACAAACTTTATGGCCACCCTGTATATAGTATTTCTGGCTATTTCCTTAAGTAGAATCTCTTGAAAATTGAGAAAATTCCCTAAAGATACAAAGCTGATCCAGAACAGGATTTTAAATTTAGTGTTCTCCTTCCAGCTTTGTTTATTTTCTCTACATCTGTGTCTCCATCTGTGTGCGTTCCCCCCCCGGGCACACCCTCCACCTTTTCAATCTGATTTGCTCTTTACCATGCAGAGCTGTGGATGAAGAGCCAGAGTCCTCCGAGGTTGATGCTCCTGGCCGGTGGCACGGTATCCACGTTAACAGAACGCCTCCGACGCCCTCAGAGTCTGCAGCCACCGTTAAGTCACTTATCAAGTCATTTGACTTGGGCCGACCAGGTATTTACTCATTCTTGCCCATAACCAAAGCTCCAAAGACTCAGCCCAACATATCAAGCCTATCTCTACTTCATGACGCCCCAAGTTGACACAAGTGCCAGGGCTTTCTCTAGACCACACGTGTGCAGCCACAGAGCAGGAGCTGGGCTGCGGCTGCAGGGAAGCAACAAGAAAGACTCTGGCCCGTAGGTGACACGAACATACCTCCTCTCCCTCCATCTCGTCCTCCCGCCAGTCCTCCCTTGCCACTTCCTTTTCCTCCTCTCACAGCCATTAAGTTCAGGTCACTACTCTTTGCCTTCTTCCCATCTCATGGGAATTAGGAGAGTCACCTTGTCTCCTGGGAAACGAGGTGTCGACCCCTGCTCGGGCCTCTGATGGGACCCCTTGCTGTCACATCTTGCCAGGTGCTGCTGTGCTGTGTTCTTTCTGGGCTCACCTGTGACCACCTGTGCTCATCTGTCACTCCTGACTGCGGTGCATTCCTAGCTTTTCCTGGAAATGCCTAGCTGACTCTCGGTTCCCCTTATATGCGAAAAACGCTCTTCTATACTTTATCCCTGTGCTGTGCACACATCAGTAAAGTAAGTAGGAGAAACAGAGTGTCATCCACACTGACAGGGTCTCCCTGCCTTGACCAGAGGCGCCGTGGTATTGGGAAACTGTGGTAAGAGCTAGTCCTAGAACGCACCTGGTTATCTCTGCTGAAATCATTTGCAGCTGAATTAGATAAGACTCCACATGTTGAAATCCATGAAAGCTCAGCCAGTTACTCTATGGAGATGGGAAATGGATTGAGACTGATAGTTTGTACAAGAACGTCCCTGTTTTTCCCTCTCATTGTGCTTCATTACATATGCATTTTCTCTTCTCCCGGTTTTCCAACATTGAAGACCTACCTTCACGCAGCTCACTCCTTCTCACTCCCCAGTCCAACTCCAGTCCACAGGGGAAAAGGCCAATAGTGGAAGGGTCACACTGGGACGCTTCTTACGTCACCAAAAACGTGCAACAGATCAGGACTATGATTTGCTATTTTGAACTGGAACAATGCATAAATGTTCCCATTCCCTTTCTTGGCAGGTGGAGCTGGACAGAATATTTCTGTTCATAAGACCCCGAGAAGTCTGCTGAGTGGAATACCCGTGAGGACGGCCCCAGCCGCTGCTGTCTCTCCAATGCAGGTCGTATAAGCCATAGAAAGAACCACTGTCATGGTCTGTGGTCTGTCCCTCTGGGTGTTTTTCTTTTTCTTTTTTTTGAGACAGAGCCTCAAGCTGTGGCCTTGGGTAGAGTGCCATGGTGTCATAGCTCACAGCGACCTCCAATTCCTCAGCTTAAGCGATTCTCCTGCTTAAGCCTCCCAAGTAGCTGGGAAGACAGGCGCCTACCATAATGCCTGGCAATTTTTTGGTTGCAGTTGTCATTGTTATTTGGCAGACCCAGGTTGGATTCGAACCCCCCAGCTCTGGTGTATGTGGCTGGCGCCTTAGCCGCTTGAGCTACAGGTGCCAAGCCCTCTGGGTGTTTTTCTTTACACATATGAATGTGTGTGTAGAGAGAGAGTGCATGTGTCTGTTTTGTAAATTGCATCACACTACACATTAATCTGATGCTTCGTTCACTCTTTCCTCGGAATGTAAGCTCTGTGTGGGCAGGGATTTTTGTTTTCTTTGCTTGCTATCATATCTCTTGTCTAGAACAGCGGCTGGCACGTAGTCGTATCATAGTACAAGTTCAACAAATATGTGTTGATAGAATGAAGGAATATGTTAGAAACATCTTTAAATGTCAGTATTTGGAGAAATAACTCCTATTTTAAAGGAGTATAATATATGGTGATTTATTTAGCCACCCTTCCATTGATGGATAGGTTGTTTTAGATTTAAGTTATTATAAAAACAGTACAGTGAAGATCCTTGTGCACATTTTGCCCCTGTCAGGACCTGTTTCTGGATAAGGGGCATTAAGTTTCATTTGTAAATATCAGAACCACTGTAGTTAAGCAGAAAGGAATTTAATACAGGGGACTTGGAACTTTGAAGGGCTGGAGGAAAAGTCTCCAGTCTGCACAGATTTTTCAGGAAAGGTTCCTAGAACATCTCAAAGGTGGCCCATTAAAGGAGCTTTTATTTCTGTGAGAAATCAGGAAGGCTTTGTCTAGCCAATTGCCAACACCTCCCATTTCTGTCCAGATCTAGATTGGCTCAGGTCCACACTGCAACACGTGCAGTCCATCCAGCAGGACATGTGCTCTGGGCCCTGCCTGTATCACCCAGAAAGCTGTGGGCTCAGACACCAGAACCTCGACTCCCCTCCACAGAAAAGCAAATGCCTCATGGCCACAGGTGCCTGTCGGAGCTGCAGAAGGGCCCCTCTCACTCCCATGTGCAGCCAGGTCTGCGAGTGGCCTTTCTGATGGGAGCTACAGGCTTTAAGGGAGTTTGGCATATAGACCCTGTAGCTTTCCAGGCTCATGTAATCTAGTACGTCACCCTACAGAGAGACTAGAAGGGAGTTGAGGGCACCAGTCCAGAGATCTGCCACAGATGTGTTGCTAGACAAGGGACAGGATTTTTGGTGTCCTGGGAAGTTGAATAAAATGCCATTTTCTCAGAAGTTCGACAGTATAAATTTTGAGGATTGAATAAATGAATAATAAGTATCTTGCTTCCTCTGTCAGTAAGGGGAGCACTTCTTCACGGTTACAGGCCTTTTATGTGTTTTGTGTGTGTGTTTATGAACACTTACACACTGAGCCTGTTTTTCTTTTGAGGTATTGGTCTTCTTTCCACTTGTCGGACATCTTGACATACGATGCTTTGTTTTCATATGTAGGGTATTTTCTCTGTTTATAATTACCTTTTGCTTAAGAGAAAGTTTACATTTTTATATTCAATGTTTTCCTTTACAACTTTAAGGGTTTTTGTTTCCTGCTTTAAAATTATATTATTACATTATTAAAATATCCTTTAATATCTTCAAGAAGCCTTTTATTTGTTTAGACTTAAAATCCATAGAAATGTGGGTTTGGATTTAGGTAATCTTCCCCTATCTAAACTACCTTCTAGAGGCAGCAGTAAATACTCTCTGGAGGAATATTACATCATCTAGAATTTCAAATTATATATATATTTTTTTCAAATATAGGGTCATAAAGAAAAAGAAAAAAAAATATCAGGCATACAACTAGAAAATCCCAAATGATAAAAAACCAAGGTAAAAAAAAGGCCCTAGAAATAGACACAGGAGGTGCAGATTTTGCTATTATTAGACATGGACTTGAAAACAACTCAGATTAATTTAATCAAAAAAACCCAAATGACAAGGTGGAGAATTTCATCAGAAAACAATAATCTATTAAAAAAAGAATCCATTAGAAATTCTATAACTTAAAAATAAAGTACCCGAATTAAAGGTTCAACCAAGTTTAGCTGTAGATATTTCTTCTGACATGTTTTCAGTTCTTTAAGCCTCTTTTAAAGAGAGTAGAAATATCTTAACTGAAGCACAGAGAAAAAGAAAGAAAGAGAATGAAGAAAAGGCTGTAAGTGACATACAGGTGGAGTGAACAGGTCTCATGCGTAATTTGGCTCCCCCCAAAGGAGGAAAAAAAGACAGGGCAGAAGCAGTATTTGGAAGAGATGGTCCAATAATTTCCTAAACTCATAAAAGAAGTCCAGCCCCAGATTCTAGAAACAAAGTGCCCCAAGCAAGGTAAGATAGCTACACCTTAGACACGTGGGGTTAACACTGTTGGAAACAAAAGAGAAAGCATTCTAAAAGCACCCAAAGGAAAAAGACTCCTGGATGTCAAAGGAGCAAGAGCAAAATTGGCAGCTGCCCTCTCAACCAGGGTGGGAACGGGAGAGGGGGGCATGGCGGGATGTGGAGAGAAGGTGACTGGGGTCACCTTCTCAGGGTTCAGCACCGGCTGAAGACATTCTTTGAAGGTGAATGGAAAAGAAACTTTCAGTCAAAGAGTTTCAGTAGCATACTTACAGAGAAGAGGCTATTAAAAGAGGTTCTGTGTGAAATTTGTTCTTTTAAAGACTTAAAATTAATGAACCTCTGATAAGACTGCTACAAAGAAGAGGCAGAAATGACCTATGTCAGGAATTTTAAAAGAGGTACAGCACTAAAGATCCCCCAGTTTTTTTGTTTTTTGTTTTTTGTTTTTTGAGGTAGTATCTCACTGTGTCATCCCAGCTGGAGTGCAGGGGGCTCATCACAGCTCCTTGCAACCTCCAGCTCCTGGGCTCCAGTGATCCTCCTGCCACGGCTTCCCAGAGGGCTAGGATTACAGGCCACCGTTCCCGGCTCCCCAGTCATGAAAGCAATGATGAGAAGATATTTATAAATTACTACTTTGTGATAATAAATTACATAAAGTTGATGAAATGGTCAAAATTTTAGAAAAATGTAACTTAAGAAAGTGACATAAGAAAAAGTAGTAGAAAAGTATCAATGCTCTGTAATTTAAATCTTTTCTTCAGAGGAAATGCCAGGCCCAGCTGGCTTCAGCATGAAACTTCTCAGACATTTAAGGATGAAATAATGTCAATCATACATGAATTCATAGAGAGGAGAAAAAAACCAGATGAAGGGATAAATCTTCTCATCATTTAAAGACGCCAGCATAGCTTTGATAATGAGTTCTAGCAAGGAGATTAAGAAACATAAATGGTAGGCTTGATGTCCATAACACAGTGATTATGGCGCTGGCCATATACAGCAAGGCTGGCAGGTTCGAATCTGGCCCAGGCCTGCTAAAACAACAATGACAACTGCAACAATAACAAAAATAGCCGGACGTTGTGGCTGGCGCCTGTAGTCCCAGCTACTTGGGAGGCTGAGGCAAGAGAATCGCTTAAGCCCCAGAGTTTGAGGTTGCCGTAAGCTGTGATACCATGGCACTCTACCCAAGGCGACAGCTTGAGACTATCTCAAAAAAAAAAAAAAAAAAAAATCATATAGTCCTAGGTCCTCTAGAAGAAAGAATTCTCCAGAAACTCCTAAATGGCCCTGCTGTTACATGGGCACACTCAGATGTCCCAGGCTATTCATCTCCACATTATTCCTAGTACTAATATCAAAATCAATACCAATACCAATGTGAAGAGAGGCTAGACTCTAATCTGATTGTTCTAAATGAATTTAACTTGTTTAATCTTCCCTGCAGCCCTCTGGCGTATGCTGTATGCACTATCAGTATCATCGCCACTTTATAGATAAAGAACTAAGTAACCCAGAGTCACACCGCTGGGAGGTAGTGGTCTGGCTCCAGCACCATGCGCTGCAAAATGGTATACAAAATAATATAATGTCATGATAACATTTATGTTTTTATTTAAAAAGGAGGATTTTATTAAAGTTGCTTTTTTAATTTTTTTTTTTTTTAAGAGACAGAGTCTCACTTTGTCAGCCTCGGTAGAGTGCCTTGGCGTCGCAGCTCACAGCACCCTCCAGCTCTTGGGCTTAGGTGATTCTCTTGCCTCAGCCTCCTGAGTAGCTGGGACCACAAGTGCCTGGCTATTTTTTTGTTGCAGTTTGGCTGGGGCCAGGTTTGAACCTGCCACCCTGTGTATATGGGCCGGCGTCTACCCACTGAGCCACAGGCGCCGCCCTAAAGTTGCTTTTTAATGATATACTCACTAGCATTGTGAAATGCTTTGTTTTATGGGGGGTAAAAACATCCCCTGAGCTGCTATAAACACAGTATGGCAGCCCAGGCCTTGCATGACTGAAACTCCGTACCCTTGAACACCTCCCCATCTCCCCGTCCTCTGCTCTTCAGCAGCCACGGTCCTGGTTCCTGCTTCTGTGCGTCTGTGCTGTAGACGCTTCAAAGTAAGCGGGACCGCACGGCCTGGCCCCATGACTGGCTGATTTGACCTACCACAGTGTCTTCAAGCTCATTCATGTCGTAGCATGTGACAGACTTCCTTCTTGTTTAAGGCTAATATTCCAGTATTTGGGTACACCACATTTTTCTGTATCCACTCATCCTTCGATGGACATTTAGATTGTTTCCTCCTCTTGGTTTTTGTGAATAATGCTGCAGTGAACAGGACAGTGCAAATCTCTCTTTGAATTCAGTCCTATCTTCAGCTTTTTTGGATAAATACCTGGAAGTGGGATTGCTAGATCACATGGTAGTTTTATTTTTAAATTTTTGAGGCACCTCCACACTGTTTTCCACAATGGCTGCACCATTGTGTGTTCCCACCGGCAGCACACACAGGTCTCCGTCTGTCCACCTCCTCACCAGCGTTTGTTATTTTCTGTTTTGGTGATGGCCTTCCTCACAGGTATGAAGTGGTGTTTCACTGTGGTTTGGTTTGTTAAAACACAGTTCCTTTACACATGTCCTTGTGTGTACAGAGAGTATTCCAGGAAGGAGACCCACAGAGCTGACCAGTAATTATTACTCCCGGGGACGAAGGGCTGGTGAAAGCGACTTTCTTTTTACTACTTGCCCTTTTTAATACCTACTTAAATAAATAATTTTAAAGCTCTCTCAGTGATTCTACTAATGCCCAAGAACTGATGCACTGCATGCCCCCAGTGTGTGTACTCTTGCTGGCGTCACAGGCTCACCGGGCTCCTGTGCCCTCTGGTTTTTGCAGAGGCACTCGACGTACAGCAGTGCACGGCTGGCCGGCAAAGGAGCCACTCAGCGCCTGGAGCTTCCTGACCTTCCCCTCTCAGGTAAACTTCCTAAAATGGGAAATACTTCTGACTTATTTTGTGTGTGCTTTGTTTCTTTACAAGAAACTGAGCCTAGAAAAATAATCAGTGGCATTTATTCCAAGCAATGTCAACCCCTAAATGCATGAGTCTGGGGCTTTAGGTTCACTAGAGCTCCCAACAGAAGGGAAAGGTGCCTCTTGCCAGTCGCACTCACCAGTGTGCTTGTGCTGGGCCAAACTTGGGGTTTGGGGTTGTTTTTTGTTTTTTTCTTGTTCTTTCGCCTAGCTAGAGTGCAGTGGTGCCATCACAGCCCACTGCTACCTCTTGAGTAGCTAGGACTACAGGTGTGCCACTATACCCGGCCAAGTTTTTGGTAGAGACAAAGTCTCTATGTTGCTCAGGCTAGTCTCCCAAATCCTGGGCTCAAGTGACCCACCTGCCTTGGCCTCCCAAAGTGCTGGGATTACAGGTGTGAGCTAGTTGCTGTTCTTGCTTATCATACTTGCTGTCATGCTGGTGCTGACGGCCACGGGGGGTGCTCGAGGGGGTACTGCCTCCACTGCTCCCCCTCTCTGGGCTCTGCTTTCCAAGACAGAAATAATCCCTCCGCCCTCACAGGGTCACTCCAAGGCTTCAGTTAGTACATCCATGTGCTCAGGACATCCATGTGTGGCAGGCCCTGGGGGGGTGTCTGCGTTGGCGCCTGGCCTGCTCTCCTCCGCCAACCCAGATCACGTGCCCAGAACTGCAGAAGCAAGAGCATGGCGGCCAGGCAGAAAGCAAAGGTGTCCAGAATATGCCCCTTAGAGACCATGTGTGTGTATCTCTGTGGTCACCATTAGGAAATAAAAACGATACAAACATTGAATGAACTATTTACTGGTGCCCATAGGAAGGACAGACCGCCAAAAACCTAGATCATATACACAGAAATCCTTTTGTTTTTAAGCACAAAAAAATTTCTACATGGTGATATGGGTGAAGAGAAAATGAACTGTACTTCTGGGTGACAGTCAAACAGTCAGGCTCGTCCTTAAAATGTGGCAGTTGTTTCTATGAGGCGTGTTTTCCTGGAGAATCTGGCTTTCATTTTCATGGCATTGAATGAGAATTTTAGACTCAGATAAACACTGACATTGAGAAATTTAGAGGTGATCTTGGCCCATTCCTCAAATTTTACATGTGAGAGATTTCAGGCCTTACAGAGATTAAGTGACTTATCAGAGGCCACACTGATTCGGGGCAGACCTGGGCAAGATGTCTCCTTGTTCTTTCTGGCAATGAGGCAGGTGATGGTTCTGTGATTAGCAGCTTCATAAGAAGCATTGAAAGTTTGTGTAGGACTTGAGGGTGGCGCCTGTAGCCCAGTGGTTGGGGCACCAGCTGCATACACTGGGGCTGGCAAGTTTGAACCGAGCCCAGGCCTGCTAGACAACAATGACAACTCTAACAAAAAAATAGCCAGACGTTGTGGTGGGCGCCTGTAGTCTCAACTACCTGGGAGGCTGAGGCAAGAGAATTGCTTAAACCCAAGAGTTTGAGGTTGCTGTGAGCTGTAACACCACAGCACTCTACCCAGGGCCACAAAGTGAAACTATGTCTTAAAAAAAAGAAAAAGACAGTTGATATAGGACTTGAAGTCCTCGTAGTGGCTTCCAGGAAGAAAGCAATGATGACCAAAGACCAGTGGGTCGTCTAAAGTCAGAAGAAAAAACCGAGAAGGGGCAAAGTGGAGACGGAGAGAGAGGAGAGTGCTGGATCCTTCTGGGAGGCAGGTCTGCGCTGAAAGCCGCCTCCGCTGCAGTCTCCATATTTATTACGTTTGTGACATGGGGGAAAACTTGCTTATGTGCGTGGTGCTGGGGGACCTTTTTCAAAATTTAAATTGTGATAGAACAGATAAAAGTTATCATCATATCCACTTTCAAATGGAGAAGGTGAGCTTTGTGATCATAATATTTGTTCTTGAAATAGTTGTGTCTCCTCTCGGTCCCACCAGCTGTCGTGCAGAGCAGTGTTTCCTACCCTTTATCTCATACTTGAACTTCAGTTAAACTTCTGCGGCACACTTAAATTATATTGATCAGAAAGGGTATACTTACTCTACTTGGAACTTCTTTCAAAATAATTTAATTAAATGATCTGTGAAGATTTTTGTGGCACACCTAAGACCCTCTCACAGCACACCGTTGAAAATCACTGGTGTAGAGAAACCATTCTTTTAATCGCCACAACAAATCCTGGAGCCTAGACCACAGCAGCTATTGCTCTGAAGTAAACACCCCACTGACAACACTCCTCACTTACCCACCATGGGGCACCTGTCTGCTTAAATGATTCTATTTACTGTAATAATTAAAAAAGAGGATTACATGGTGAAAATTGCTTGCGTCCAGCAATTTCGAGCCGTTGCTTCCCAACCCTGAGGTCATCAGAGGCTGCAGAGGCAGGGATGAGTGGCTGTTTTTGTTGTTCTCTTTGGTCCTGTCAACACTGTTTTTCTCTGCTGTTTAGAGCTGAGTGGCCTCACCCCCCCTTCACCACCTATAATTGGTGCTATTAACTGTGGAAGTTTTGTTTTCTTCCATGACTGTTTGTGGGTCACAGGAGGCAGCAGTGGGCTTGGCCTGGTCCCTGGCTGTCCTGCAGCTTCAAACAAGATACTTAGTTCTCCAAACGCCAGGTTCCTCTGTAAATACAGACTAGACGATCTTGAAATTTTTCTCTTGTTCTCTACTCTTATAGTCCTTTAAAAGATATAATCTGGGGAGGCATAGTACTGCTCGAGAGGCTGAGACAGGAGGATCCCTGGAGCCCGAGTCTGAATGCAAATCCAGCCTGGGCAACGCAGTGAGACTGTGAAAAAAAGAGAAAGAAAGAAAGAAATGTCCTCGGGGGGGATGCAGCCCAGTTCCTTACCTGTTTTGACTCAGATTAATATAACACCAGAAAGGAGCTTCAACAGACTTATTTTTACTTATTTTTTAGTTAGCCACACCCTATGATTGGACCAGCCTTTCTCTTATAAAATAGCTGTTCTTGGTTCCCAGCCTTTTGTTGGCTGCTGGCTGTGACATCTCCAAGTTCTCTCTTAGATATCTATTGACTTAAACAAAACATGTTACCTGGGAATGGGGCTGGCTTTGTGAGCGCCTGCATAAGACCCTTCGAAGGGCCCATGCTTGGTTTAATGCTCTGGTGACACTGTCTTGAAATTCATCTTAAGTTTTTTTTTTTTTTTTTGCAGTTTTTGGCTGGGACTGGGTTTGAACCCACCACCTCCAGCATATGGGGCCGGCACCCTACTCCTTGAGCCACGGGTCTCTCCCAATTCATCTTAAGTTTTAGACAAGGGCCCAATCTGTCACTAGGCCCTGTAAATGATGTGGTTGGTTCCACCCAGAGAATCCTTTCTAGAAAACATCATCTCTCTATTTGCATTTTTATTACTTTAGAAAGAGTGTGTGGGTGTCTATTTGAGCTTGAGAATAAAATGAGAATTCTATTCTACTGGGGAATAAAGTAGGATGACAAAATTTCTCTCCCTTGGAAACTGGTGGTTATATTGTTCACACAGATCTTCTAAAGGGAAGGGCTGAGGACCTGAAGCCAGACCCTTACCTCCGGAAGAGCCCCTCACTCGAGTCTCTGAGCAGGCCACCCTCTCTGGGCTTTGGGAACTCAAGACTGCTGAGTGCCTCCACTGGGGGGCTGAAACCACAGAGTAAACTCAGGTACCATGTTTAAAACAGTAAGAAATAGAGAAACAGTGGGCTGATAACCTTTTGTTCTTCCTTCTGTTTTATCCCATATGGTCAGTTTACCAATATTTCCTGAAGCGTGATTAAGGTGCAGCACCTGGCTATGAGGGGTCTACAAGGCAGCGGCGGCAGGCAGCATGGGATTGCAGCCACTGACTGGCAGGGTTGTTAGCTGGATCACGAAGTCTAGAGAGGAATGGCAGCTCTGCCAGGGCATGTAAAGGTGCCACTGTGAGCGAGCTATGGAACAGGGTTCAGGAAGCAGGGAGCAGTTCTTGTGTATGGGCCAGACTGCGGGCTCCGTGAGGACAGGGACCAGGCCATGTGCAGAAGACTCTCTGTCAGCATTTGGGGGTGGATGGATGGATGACTAGGGCATTACAGTGGGAAAGGTAGGTTGGAAACTTATTGCAAATAGTCTTCATTGCTAAGAAAGACTTTTTTTGGTTTTTTTTTTTTTTTTGAGACAGAGTCTCACTTTGTTACCCTCAGTAGAGTGCTGTGGCGTCACAGCTCACAGCAACCTCAAACTCTTGGGCTTAAGCGATTCTCCTGCCTCAGCCTCCTGAGTAGCTGGGACTATAGGCAGTCATCACAACCCCCATCTTTTTGTTGTTCCTGTTGTTATGCGGCCGTCACCCTAGCCGCTGAGCTACAGGCACCAAGCCATAAATACTTATTAAGGTAGATAGATCAATATACAAAATTGGCTACTTTGTAAGTAGCAGCTTTGTAATATTATAATTACCAATGTGGGTATTTTAAAAGGATTTGTGAAGTCTTATATCTTTGGGTGTAGCCTGGACTTGGACCCAAACAGATGAAGTCATATGTTTCAGAGGTTTACTATAAAGCCCCAGATATTACATATTGACCTGTTTATGTGCAAGAGATTCAAATAAACAAAAGAGGCGTTAGGACCACAATTAGTGCTATTCTGAAATCAGCCTTTTACTTGTGGCAGAAATGCACACATAAGGCTATGCATATTTTAATGTCCTGTTGGTATTTTATCTTTCATTGTGACAGGGCAACTTAGTAAAGATAATTTCTTTTTTCTTTTCTTTCTTTTTTTTTTTTTTTGTAGAGACAGAGTCTCACTTTGTCACCTTCGGTAGAGTGCTGTGACGTCACAGCTCACAGCAACCTCCAGCTCTTGGGCTTAGGCGATTCTCTTGCCTCAGCCTCCCAAGTAGCTAGGACTACAGGCGCCTGCCACAATGCCTGGCTATTTTTTGTTGTTGTTGTTGCCCACCACCCTAGGTAAATGGGGCCGGCACCCTAGGTAAATGGGGCCGGCACCCTGCCCACTGAGCCACAGGCGCCACCTAAGTAAAGGTGATCTCTTATTTCAATTTTACATTCATGTCATTGAGACGAACCATTGGCAGAATAGAAATTACTTACTTTAGAAGTTCTCATTCTATTATTATTAAAAACTTTTTTGCAACCATATTGAGTTAGCTTTATTCTTTAAAGAAAGATGTTTAGGCTCAGCGCCCATAGCTCAGTGAGTAGGGCACCAGCCACATACACCCGGGCTGGCAGGTTCTTGCCCAGCCTGGGCAGGCTAAGCAACATTGACAAATACAACCAAAAAAATAGCCAGGCATTGTGGCAGGCACCTATAGTTCCAGCTACTCGGGAGGCTGAGGTAAGAGAATTGCTTAAGCCCAAGAGTTTGAGGTTGCTGTGAGCTATGATGTCATAGCACTCTATCCAGGGTAACAAAGTGAGACTCTGTCTCAAAAAATAAAAATTAAAATAGAAAAGAACGAAAGATGTTTAGTGAATGTCTTAGCTCACAGCACAGCTCACAGCAACCTCACACTCTTGGGCTTAAGCGATTATCCCGCCTCAGCCTCCCAAGTAGCTAGGACTACAGGCAGCCATCACAACCCCTGGCTTTTTGTTGTTCCTGTTGTTATGTGGCTTTCAGAGACTCTTCTCCAAACCCTTATTTCAGTGTTCTCTTATTTGTCAGGTGTAGAAATTCAAGGGATGACACAAGACTGGGCATGGTCATCAGGACTGTGTGGTAACAGCGTCTCTGGCCAGAGCAGCTCCTGAACTGGGCCTTTACAAATCAGCTAGATGCACAGAGAAGCAGTTATCAAATTATACAAGAAAAATTAAATTCAAGGATGAACTGTTAAAAGTCTCTTTACTGGCTCAGCGCCTGTGGCTCAAGCGGCTAAGGCACCAGCCACATATACCTGAGCTGGTGGGTTCAAATCCAGCCCGGGCTGCCAAACAATAATGATGGCTGCAACTGAAAAATAGCCCAGCACTGTGGCAGGTGCCTGTAGTCCCAGTTACTTGGGAGGCAGAGGCAGAAGAATCACTTGAGCCCAGGAGTTGGAGGTTGCTGTGAGCTATGATACCATGGCACTGTATCCAGGGTGACAGCTTGAGGCTCTGTCTCAAAAAAAAAAAAAAAAAAAGTCTCTTTACCCTAGTTCATATTGCTGAGGTCTAAGTCATGCTATGACTGTTTTAAAAATCATTTTGAAATATTGCTATGAAAGCCTAGCTGATGGGCCAGACGTGGTGGCTCACACCTGTAATCCCAGCAGTTGGGAGGCCCAGGTGGGTGGATTGCCTGAGCTCACAGGTTGAAACCAGCCTGAGCTAGAGCGAGACCTTGTCTCTAAAAATAGCCAGGTATTGTGTTGGGCGCCTGTAGTCCCAGCTACTTGGGAGGCTGAGGCAAGAGAATTGCTTAAGAGTTTTAGATTGCTGCGAGCTGTGACACCACAGCACTCTGCCCAGGGCAACATAGTAAGACTCTGTCTCAACAAAAAAGGAAAGACTGGCTGGGTACAAAAAAATACATACCCAGCCAGGATACATAGAACATGCATCAAGATCTACCCAGATAACCCATCTTCTAGTTTAAGGAAAAGAAAATTGTTACCTTTGAAATATCCCATTATCCCCCCACACTAGCATTGTCTTAGTCCCCCTCCAAGGTAACACCACTCTGAGTTTAATATTTATCTTTTTTGTTATTTTTAGCTCTTTCACCATGTATGTTGGTATCCCCAAATACTATGTTATTTAAATTGCTTATTTTAAAATTTGTCATCATGGAAACATATTGTGTGTTTTTTAGGGTGCAGGGTTTACTTTTTGGCGGGGGGGGGTGTACTTTTTTAAGAGGCAGGGGCTTGTCTTTTGCTCAGACTGGTGTGTAGGAGTGCTGTGGGACAGTCATAACTTACTGCAACCTTGAACTCCTGGGTTCAATGGATTCTCCCACCTCAGCCTCCAGAGTAACTGGGACCGCAGGAGCCCATAACTGCACGTTTAGCCCCAGTCTGCCTGCTGTATGTTGTTTAGATATGGGTGCAGCCTTGAACATGGGGAGTTTTTATTTTATAGGTATTTTAATTCAAATGGCATTGTACTTACATGAACAAATAAAAGGCTAGATGAATGAGCAGCAGGTGGGTGTTAGAACAAAACAGAACTCTCCCCAGACTTAATGTAGGCAGGAAGTACAATTTAATTTTTCTTTCATTTTCTGAGACATCATAAAAATGTGCTATTCATGTGACTGATTTGGTTGCTGCTTTAGCGTCTTGTTGGAGAAACTAGACTTTTGCTTTTCTAATCTAGTAATTTATTTCTTGTGTATTTGAGGGTTCAAAAAAATGACCAACTTCTCCTTACTCTTTGCTCTTTTCCCAACCAGTGTGGAAAGGAGAGACCCTCTGGCAGCCTTGGCCCGGGAGTATGGCGGCTCCAAGCGCAACGCTCTGCTGAAATGGTGCCAGAAGAAGACAGAGGGCTACGCGGTAGGAGACTGTCAGCGTGTCCTGTGTGTGTGCCTGGTGTGCCCACACGAGGGTTGCTGTCATCTTTTCTGTCTTCGTAGGCAGGGCAATCAGGGGGGTTTGATGTTTGTGCACTATTCAGAAGCACCCAGACAGGAGGCAAGTGTAACTGAAGGCCGTCTGCGTCCATCCACAGATGGGCACCTGTAGGCCGAGCTGCGCGTGCTGCAGGGAGGGGACCTTTCCTTGGCCCAGAGGTGACACAAGATCCCCATGCAGTACGCCCAGCACCCTTATGCTAAATCCTCCTCCCTAGGGAGGGTCCTCCTCCTTGCCTCATTCTCATAAAGGCCCCACCTAGATGGGCCTAAAACTTTTTTCAAAATTTTTTTCTCTATTGCTTTGAGAGTTTGCATTTGGATTAAAAATGTTGGTTTACTAGGAGAGTATCTGTCTTCTCTGAAGGTCAGACAAGGAATTAATATCTGATATGAGTTTAAACTTTCTTATTGTGAAAATTATACACAAAGATAAAAGTCTACAAAATATAAATAATTTCATGAATTATTATGAAGTAAACACTCCCGCAGTCACTTCTCCCATCCAGACATGGAGCATTCCAGGTCCCACACCGCTTCCTTGTGATGTTCCAATCATAACCCCTTACAGCTCTCTTAAGATAACTATTGTCCTTGATTCTTTTCCTTATAGTTTTCTACAAAAGTATGCATCTCTGAATACTAGGTTAGTTCTGCTTGCATTTGAATTTTCTTATAAGTGAAATAAAAAACAGTGATATTTGCATCTGGCTTTTTTACACAATATTAAGTTAGTAAGATTTAGCCATGTTGTTGCATATAGCTATAATTTGTTCATTTTCTTCACTATTCGGTAACCCATTGTATAATTATACTATTATTTATTTATCTGTTCTACTATTGATACAGCTGAATAATTTCCAGTTTGGGGCTATTATAAATAATGCTGGTGTGTTCTTGTACATGTCTCCTGAGCCATGGAGTATGCATATATTTGAGTATGGCAGATAGCATCAAACAGATTACTGAGGTAGTTGCATAATTTACATCCACCAATTTATGAGAGACTTGTTTCTTTACATGCTCACAAACTCTTGGTTTTGCCAGGTTTTTTGCTACTGGTCTTTCTGGTAAATGTGTAGCAATATCTCGTTGTGGGTTGTTTTTTGTTTGTTTGTTTGTTTGTTTGTTTGAGACAGAGTCTCATTCTGTTGCCTAGGCTAGAATGCAGTGGCCTCAGCCCACCTCACCCTCCAACTCCTGGGCTTAAGTGGTTCTCCTGCCGCAACCTCCCAAGCAGCTGGGACTACAGGTGCCCACTACAATACCCAGCTAATTTTTCTACTTTTAGTAGAGCTGGGGTGTTTGGTCTTTTTTTTTTTTTTTTTTTTTTTTTGAGACAGAGCCTCAAGCCATCACCCCAGGTTGAGTACTATGGCATGACAGCTCACAGCAACCTCCAACTCCTAGGCTCAAGCGATTCTCCTGCCTCTGCCTCCCAAGTAGCTGGGACTACAGGTGCCCGTACAACGCCCGGCTTTTTTTGTTGTTGTTGCAGCCATCAGTGTTGCTTGGCGGGCCCCAGCTGGATTCGAACCCATCAGCTCAGGTGGATGTGGCTAGTTTCTTAGCCGCTTGAGCCACAGGTGCCGAGCCATGTGTTTAGTCTTGAAATCCTAAGCTGAGAGATCTTCCTGCCTCAGCCTCCCAGCTGTGCTAGAATTACAGGCTTGAGGACTGGAGGGGAGTTGGCATTTGCATTTTCCTATTGGCTTTTGAGGTTGAAACCTTTTCATATGTCAATTGGCCATGTGGATAGCCTCTTTTGGGATGTATCTGCTCAGGATTTTTGCTCATTTTTTGTTTGTTTGTTTGTTTGTTTTAGAGGGAGGGTGTTGTTACTGTGAACAGGATAGGACCTTTGGCTAAGGTGACCAGATTTTAACATTAGTAAACATTGGTAAAGAAGGACACCATTGGGGGGGGGGGGCTGACAACAAACTTTGATAAGCAGTTCTTGATAAGCAGTTCTCAACAATTATTTGTTATTATTAAAGTTTAACATTATAAAATTAACAAAAATAATATAAAACTCATATCCTGGCGAAATAGCCACATGGCAGCCAAAAACCGTATATTCCCTTCTTGTTGTCCCGTGTTCCCTAGCTTGTCATGCATTCTTTCCAAAAATTGGGGCTTTTTTAAAACTCCAAACATCTTCTCCTCCCAGTGTAGCTTGAATTTTCACACTTTTTTTTTTTTGAGACAGAGTCTCACTATGTCACAGCTTACAACAACCTCAAACTCTTGGGCTTACATGTTTCTCTTGCCTCAGCCTCCCACGTAGCTGGGACTACAGGTACCCACCACAATGCCAGGCTGTTTTCTTGTTGCAGTTGTCATTGTTTAGCAGGCCTGGGCTTGGCTTGAACCCACCAGCCTTGGTGCATGTGCCTGGCACCATAACCACTGTGCTACGAACACTCAGCCAAATTTTCACGCTTTTGATGAACAAAGTTCTTAATTTCAAGTAAGTCTAATTTGTCAATTTTTTCTGTAATGATCAGTGCTTTTAGTATCCTGTATAAAAAATCATTATTCATTCCAAGATCATGAAGTTATATCGTCCTATATTTTCTTCTGAAAGCTTTATTGTTGCCCCTTTCACACCAGATAGACACCGTCTTTAAAATCACCGACTCAGGCCGGGCAGGCACAGTGACTGTAATCCTAGTACCCTGGAAGGCCAAGGCGGGTGGACTGCCTGAGCTCATAAGTTGGAGACCAGCCTGAGCAAGAGCAAGGCCCTATCTCTAAAAAAATAGCCGGGCGACGTGGCGATTACTTGCAGTCCCAGCTACTTGGGAGACTGAGACAAGAGAATTGCTTAAGCCCAAGAGTTCGAGGTTTCTGTGATTCCACTGCACTCAACCCAGGGCGACAAAGTGAGACTCTGTCTCAAAAAAATAAATAAATAAAATCACCAACTCCTACTGCATTCTTATGACATTTTAATAAAACTTGAGAAGATTCTGGCACCACAATACTCCTTTCCCAGCCGAAAGGTTTTGAGGGTTACAAGGACAGCGAAAGAAAAAAGCCAGGAAGAAAAACTGGGCCTTGGCCAAGACCCAGTCCTGGTAGTTCAGTAGCAGGCTGAGGATTCCCTGGGTCATATCATCAGTCAAATGCCTTAAAATCAGAGTTTGCCCACGAATATGAGTATCTGGTATCTTTGATGCTAACAGTACCTTCCTTAATTTTACATTTAAAAAGACAAAGAAAGAGCTGGTCGTGTTAATTACGAAAAATAGAGGCTTCCAAACGGGCTCCTGACCCCTTGTTGTACTTGTTGCTTTACCGTCCACACGGCCTCAGCCCCATTCTGAGGCCCAGACCGTCCCCTAAAGGTCCTTCAGTGTGTCAGCCTTGCTGCCGAGGAAATGGGAAAGAGTGAGAAGTTAGAGACAGCTGACTACAGGAGGGCTTAGCATAAAGGAAGTAGGACAGCTTACAACTGAAACAGGGGCAGCCAGTCACAGATGAATCGTGCCAGGTGCAGTGGCCACACCTGTGATCCCAGCACTTTGGGAGGTCGAAGGCAGGAGGAATGCTTGAGGCCAAGAGTTTGAGGCTGCAGTGAGCTGCAATGATGCCACTGCCCTCTAGCCTGGGCCACAGAATGCTGGAAAGGAAATATAGGACAATATAGCTTCACAATCTTGGAATGCACAATGATTTCCTGTCTCACAAAAAAAGAAAGAAAAGAAAAAGACTCTGGGAGGCTGAGGCAGGTGGTTCAAGACCAGCCTGAGCAAGAGTGAGACCCTGTCTCTGAGAAGTAGCTGGGCATTGTAACGGACACCCATAGTCCCAGCTACTTGGGAGGCTGAGGAATGAGTCCTTCACAGAGACTGAGCCACATGTGGCCTCTGCCCAGACTGTCATCCCCACTGGCAGTAGTAGACCAAGGGAGCAGCCACAGAGAGAGACAACATCTTCAGAAGGAATTGGTCCTTTATGACTTAACATTGTTATAATTAGATACAGGAAAGAGGGAGAAGGTAAGATATTTCTAGTGATAATCATAAGCATATTTCCTGCCATAGTGACTTTTTTTGTTTTTTCGTGAACATCTTAAATTAGTTTTCAAAACATGTTATGTTTGATGAAAGCCAAAATTCTTTTCGCCTAAGTAGCTTTTTCCATTCATTGTTAAACATCATTGTAGAAATATAAACCATAGGTGTCTGCTTCATTTATTCTTCACAAAACATTCTTTGTCAAGCCCTGTTTGTCCAAGATGCCTCATGAGCTTGTTCTCTCAGAATTAGGAAGCAAAAGTAAATTGTTGGAAACTCAGATGGTTCACAGTCTTTGTGACAGCCTGTAGCCATGTACATTTTGACTTAAAATAACTTCTTTTTGTCTTCCCAAGTACAGCGTGATCAGTTGTGTCAGACCCCGCCATGTATTAATTCAGTAATGAATTTTTGTTAAGGGGCCTATTCCGTGCCAGGAATGCGTAGTATTTTAGGTGCCAGAGACTCAGCAGTGAATGAAGCAGGGGAGGTCTGCTGTCACGGAACTTACTTTCTCATGAAGATTGAAAAAATAAAGAAAAATAAGTGTGTGCTACATTAGAAGAGTGCTGGGGGCGGGGGAGGGAGAATAAAGCTGCCAAGGAGTATTTGGAAGTGTTGGGTGTTTGGCTCAGTTTCAAAACAGTGGTCAGGTGGTGACATTCGAGCAAGGCTCCCCTCCCCTGAAGGACTCTGGTGTCTCGGTGGTGTCTGTCTCCCACCAAGTCCGGGGTGTGGAGGGTCAGAGTGAGGAGGCTGTCATAGCAGTTACCATGTTGGGTAACTTGGAAGGTGAGTCTCGCAGCCAGATGCACCTGCTGGGCCCCAGGGTCAGCTTCCCAAGTCTTGAGGCAGCCCAGGGTTGAGACCAAGTGAAGGAACACAAGGCTGACCCTGCTGC